GGGAGGGAGGGCGGTCGTGAGCGCGCATGGCCGCGGCGCGGGGCTGCGCGGAGCGCGGCGGGGACGTGCCCCGGTGCGGCGGCCGCGGGGTGCTCGGTGCGCGCCGGCGCCGCTCGTCCTGCTCGGCCCGGCCCCCGGACCGCGCCGTCCCTCCGCGCTCATCCGCTTTCTCTCTCTCTTTTTTTTTAAAGTGTGACTGAAACAAAACAAAGCCAAAGGGACGCTGGATCTATCATTGGTTGATTTTCCTCCTCCTTTTTTTTTTATGATCAAAAAACAACCCCCCACCCGAGCAAACAAACATACACAAAAGCAGAAAGAAAGGGTCTTGCTCAGCAGCAGCATGGATGTCTTGGCTAGTTATAGTATATTCCAGGAACTCCAGCTTGTCCACGACACCGGCTACTTCTCAGCTTTGCCATCCTTGGAGGAAAACTGGCAGCAGGTGAATCATTTAAATTACTCCTGTAAATCTCTTAAGCGCAGACAGTCGATGCACTGAGGTTGCATTTCTGACTTTATTTTATTTTTGTTCTTTAATTCAGGGTTGGGGTTTTTTGGTGGTTCTTTTTTTTTTTTTTTTTTCTGCGTGGGTAGACCTTTAAATCTCTGTATTTTTTACCGTGAAAACTGAGCATTCATTCAAATCTGTCTGCCTTCAGCCCTTTCCGAGCACACCCGGCAGTACCTGAGAACCGGTGGCATTCTTTAGGGTTTTATGATGACTATTAATTTTTTTATTTCATTTTTGAGCTTAATTTTTTTTGGTTTGTTCTGTTCTCTTAAACAAGCCTGATCACTTCCAGCCAGTGCTGGCAACTGGCAGCTGGTGGCAATGGAATAGATCATTCTTATTTTCAGGTAATTAGTATATGTCAATAAAAATTGTAGCATGAGTCAGAGGTGGGGCTGGGCAGGTGTGTGGAAGCACTAGCAAAAGCTTTTAGGCTGAATTCTGTAACTAGGGATGTGACTTATTTTTCATTCTTTTTTTTTTTTTCCTTAGAAGAAATGCACACTTCTTGCTATCTTAAAACAATGACGCCGTAGGCTGGTTCCAGTAAACCAGTGCGTTCTGAGGCAATGTAGGGTTAATATGCAGACAGAATGAGGATAAAAATGGAAATCAAGTATTATAAATGCATTAAAATGATGACTCGTAGCGTGAATAAGTAAGACCAAGGAGAAGAGTAGGTTATAGGGAAGAACTGTATAAAATGCTCTATGAGCCCACTTGATAACTATAAATAGTTATCAGCTGGGATATTGAGGGAAAAGGAAAGACAGGATTCTTATTTATGGCAGAACATTGTAAGATAGTCCTGTTTCTTGATGTGATTTTCTGATAGAGGTAATATGCCAGGTGAAATTCTGGAAACTAGTGTCTCTTTAAAAGAAAAAAAACACATCTGCTGGTGGGTAGAAATAGTGGAGTGTGGCTGGGATGACATGTGGTGCGATTGCAGCGCATGGACCAGTGGCACTGTCAGTGTGAGAACAACGAGCTCCTGGATTTCTTCTTGCCAGCATTCACCTGGCTAGCGTAAGGGTAGCCTGTGTTAGGGGTCCACTAACTAACAGTGTGGGATATTCACTTAATTTTTCCTTAGAAATGTGGACGGCAGAGCTTCAGGGAGTACTCGGGCTGTAGCATTGTTATCCAGCTGGATCACGGCTGGATCTTTAAAGGTGTACCCTAGTAAAAATGTTTTGTCTTCATCTTTGTGGGTATATGCACACAAACCAGAGTTTTATTGACAGCTACAGTGTGAACACATTCAGGATTTAATTTGCAAAATGACCGATCCAACTTCGCTTTATCCTCCAAGGGGGAGGGGATGCTTTCTGTTATTAATATTCAGCGTGCACATCCATGACGGTCACATCTGCTTTCCTTTTATATTTGTAACATACTAATTAAACTGAAGAGGTTAATATAATTTAATTAAAAAAAAAATTTCATGTCATTGTTGGTGTTGGATTGGTTGCGTATTCAGTTGCATATTAGTAACAGTCCAAACAGTCCAAAGTGAGATAGTCTGTTGACATAGCCAGCATGCTTTAGGCAGTACTGCGAGTGATACTGTGTCTGCTGCCTTCTTTTATGCGTGGAAGAGCAGCAGTTTGTTTTATATAGTACAGTATACCAATCGCTCTGTTACTATTGCAGAATTTAAAGTTACACTCCCGGTTAAACCCCACTGATTCTCCGCATATGTATAAAAGAGAACTTGAAAATAATTTGCTACATTTCCCCTTCTTTCCTCTCAAATCCTGCAACCAGTGCCCGATGTTTCATAATGTATCCTGTATTTACGGTTTGTTCCCCTGTTGCTGCGTGTGCTCTCCTTGCAAACAACGGGCAGCAAAACTGATGTGTCAGTGGTGGGAGCAGCTGAAGCTGGCTGAGCAGAGACCATGCTGGCGTGCAAGCTTGGCAGACCCACTGACACAGAGACCCCAATTTAATTCTTCGGAATCACTTGCAAACGTAATCAGGTCTTGGGGTTTTATTTATTTAAGGCAAGCCACAGCCACTTTGGGACAAAGCATGTGTGTTTTTCTAAAGGTATCCTATGAGGCTACAGTTGAGACCTTAGGGAAGAGAACTGGCACAGCAGTGACTGATCCATGTGGGAAGTATCAGAATTGGGAAACAGCAGCTTTAATTTTGAGAGAAAACACTTGAACAGATCCTGCCTCTGCTCCCCTGAAGTGCTCTGGTGCCATACATGAGCGTCATAGAGACTCCAGAGCAGAGCTTCTCCCAGCAGCAAAGCAGTGCCCCAGGAGATTACTTCACTGTCTTAGAAAGGTGGGGGAGGTGGGAAGGAGGAGGAAGTAGTTGTGTGGGTTAAGAGGAATGACATTATCACGCTTTGTGAGCTCCAGTTTTTTGATTAGCAGCTACTAGTGCTTGATGTGCAGAGGTTACTCTGTGCCAGGTCCTGCTCTGAGAAATTATGCTTACTATGATACTATAAAAGATGCACTTAATGAAAATCAGAGCATGCCTTAGTGTGAAAGTGTGAAGTGTTGTCTTCCTTTTCTCCTGAGCCTGGACCACAGTCTTGTAGCTGCTGGGCCAGTTGCTCATATTTCCGATTGTGAAACACCCATCACTCACTGGGCACTGACAGCACAGGCAGGTTTCTAAATACTTGCACAAAGTCAGCTGATCTCTCCCATTTTTCCTTCCCACTGCAAGAGGAATGTGAGCAAGTTTGGTATCTGTGCTTTTTACATTTAACATTGGAGTTGAATGAGAGCAACTCAGCAATATGTACAAAACAAAAAGATTTTGTGTGTGGAAAGATGGTTCCCTTTTGTGTAGGTTTCTTTTTTTGGAAGGAAAAAAGGCAAATGAAAATCCCCATAATCCACCCTTGATTGTGCAAGTGGAAATACCTGAAGTGGAAGCTGGAACTGACACCATGATGCCTTTGACGTTATTTTAAGACTCATGTTGGGAAGGGAGGACTTGTTTTTTAGGCAGCAAAACCTTAGCTTCACTATATCGGCTTTGGGTGTACTCATTCAGGCAAAACACTTTTGAGGTAGGCAGATTTTTTCCTGTAGTGGGGAAGTCAGGATCTAATGAGTAATTCATAGCACAGCTTCGTCAGGAGAGAGAAGTTTGTTAAGCTTTTCCAGTGGTGTTGAGCCTCTGTGGCACTGAGGAGAGATTAGAGGAAGAGGTGGCCTCTGTGCATTGGAAGATCAGGCGTTCACTGTACGTCAGCTGGCTGATATCTCAGCATCTGTGTGTTTCTGCCTGGTGCTTCATCCTGGCTCTGACTGAACTGTCCTAGTTGCTCCCTATCCCTGCGAGCTGACTCTGCAGTTCAGGGCCAGGGCAGGGGGAGATTTCAGCACCTGTATAGCTGCTGTGGTGCAGCGGGAGGGCCTCTGGCTGTTGTTTAGGGATAGCTGTCTGATGTGGCATCCCTGAGATTGGAACCAGAGTGCTGGGAGAGACAACATGAGACCGAAGAGCATCTCGTTACTCTGCAGAGGAAGGAAGTGGGTAGGAGGCTGTTTTTGAGAGAGACGACTCTGAGGAGTATATCCTGTGCAGCTGCATGTGGTCCCACTGTGTGCCAGGCTGCAAAGAGAGGGAGAGCAGGACTGAGAATCCGTAAAGGGTGGACATGGGGCTTCAGTGTATTCTTCCTGCTGTGCCTTCACAATGTCATTTGGGGGGTCATTGAAAGATCAGAGTGCAGAAAGCATCTTTTTTAATCAGATATGCCTCTTCCTAGGGAAAAGAATTCCTATTATTCTTCTCTGTAGACTTGGTGGACTCTGGACCCACCATCCTATTGTGGAGAAGAGTTCTGATCAGGAGACATTTTGGGGCCCTCTTCATATTCTGTGGGGGCCATAGCGTGGCCTCTACCACGGCAGTTGCCATAATGTCTGAATACGGGAGCACAAAGAGCAGGTAGATGCACAGAGTCACCATGTGCGTAGCTGATGCAGCTGTAAAAAACTGGCAGGGCTTTGTTGCCAAATCCTTATTCTAAAGGAGCCAGCCTTTCCCACATGGGTCAGCAGGCAGCACGGGACTAATTGGCTGGCAGAAGTGGAAATGGCATTATATTGTTTGCCTGATAACCATTGCCCGATAACATTTCCTCTCGCCTTGGCTGACCCAGCTGCTCTCAGCTGCAGCAAACAATGATCCTTTCAAGAAAGATGCACATTTCCTGTAAAGCATAGGATCAAGGAAGCCTTGGTTTTGCTTTTGACCCTCTCACAGAGTCTTCTTTGCCTATTTTTAATCAATTCTTCAAGCCTCAGTTTCTCTCTTTCTGAAGTGACTGACAACAGCAATGCTAAGGTCTGGTGGTCTTTGTGGAGCTTACAAGGCTGAGTTTTGACCCATTCTGGCAAAGGGCTTTGAGATCCCCGTGCTGTGTGAGAGCAGAGCATCCTGAGGTGACTAATCTAGCAGAACTCTTACATCTTAATGCTGACTTTTGCTTGGCGGACAGGGTCATTTTCAGGCCTATAGCAAAAATTTCCACTCCTACTGGAAAGGAATAAATCACACGGGAGAGCATTCCTGCCTCCACATCGTCTCCATTGTTCTAGTTTAATGGCATAGTTGGCCACTACATAAACTAAACCATCTCTTTTAATATTGCTATTTCATCTCGGTTCCAGTCACAGTGTAACACATTTCTTAAGTGCTTATAGTACATCATGCCTCTTGAGAATAACTTTCAGAAATGGTTGACTTCCAAGAACAGCCACCTGTGTAATACAGTATATTTCAGACTCTAAACACTGGTCCATTTATACCTGCAGGCTCTCTGCTTGCTCCATGTTGTTGAAAGCATGCTCCTGTCACCTTAGAGAAAGAGATGGACAGAGAAAGACAAACTTGAAACTGCTGTGGCTATTGTTACATGATTTCTTAATTATAGAATCTTTTTTTTC